ATATTTATAATTGTATGTTCTTAGTTAATCTTTTATCTATATATAGACTTTTTGTCTTTGGTAACAGTTTTTGACTTAAAGTTTATTTTGTCTGATATTAGTGCAGCCACTTAGCTTTCTTTGGTTACAGTTTGCATGGCATATATTTTTCCATTTGTTCATTTTCAAACTGTATTTTGGGGTCTAAAGTGAATCTCTTAAGGTAATATATAGTTAGGTCATGTTTTTTTTATCCATTCTGCCAATCTCTGCCTTTTGACTGGGGAGTTTAAATCATTTCCATTTAAAGTAATTACTGATAGAAAATAACTTTTGCCATTTTGCTGTTCGTTTTCTGTGTGTCTTATACCTTTCTGTTTTTCATTACCTATATTACTGCTTTCTTTTGTGTTTTTTTTTTATAGTGTGCCATTTTGATTCCCTTCTTACTTCCTTTTGTGTATATTTTTTGTATATTTTCTTTATGGTTACCATGGGGGTTACAATTAACTAGATATATTTTGAAGCTGTAACTGATACTGTTAACAGATTGGATGATAGATATTAATGAGGAAGTCAAGGATGGGCTTGAGGAATGGAACAATGGAGAAGTCATTTTTAGGAAGGAAGTAGCTACAGGAATAGCTGGTCAGATGAGGAGATAGAAGAGAAATCGGGAGTTCAGATTTGGTCATGTTACATTTGAGATACCTGTTAGTGAAGTAGAAATATCAAGTAGGTGGTTGGCTATAAAAGTCTGGGATTCAGGAGAGAGGTCCCAGCTAGAGCATAAATTTGAATCTGAACATATGGATTGTACATAAATCCCTGAGATGGATGAGATCATTAAAGGAGTGAGTATAGACTGGGAAATGAAGTGTCCTGAGAACTAAGCCCTGGGGTGCACTAATACTAAGGAGCTGTGAAGAAAAAGGAGAACTAGAAAAGATGACCGAAAGAAACTGGTCTGTATATATTTTATATATTTATAGAAATTTCTGTCATTTCTTGGGAGAAGATAATTCTGCATAAATCTGTTTTCCTTCCAGTTACATCTAAATGAAGATAGTGCTTCTAAATTTAAGTAGTCCTAATTTTAGAGACAGTTTAACATAAAATAAAAAGGTAGATATAATTTGGATATTCTTAAATACAAAATAAGCGTGCCGGGTAAATTGGTTATTATGCATAATCCTTGCTCTTCCGACATGATCCCACTTTAGAAGAATTCCTTTTTTTTTTTACTGAAGTATCATTGACATACAATCTTATATTGGTGTTAAATATGCAACACAGTGGTTCAACAGTTATCCATATTATTAAATTCTCACCCTTAATGGTGCAGGTACTATCTGTCAACATAGAAAGATGTTACAGAATCATTGGCTATATTCTCCATGTACTACTATCCCCTGGCCATCTTATATTATGAATGAGAATTTTTGTGTTTATCCCTCTCACCTACCCCATCCACCCATTCCAACCCCTCCACAATGGTAACCACTAGTTATAGAAGTATTCTTTAGTTTATTTCCTTTAATCATTAAGATCTGTGGTCTTTTTTTTATCTACTTGAAGATTACCAATAAAATGCTTCTTTGCTTTGATACTTTGTTTCAGAATTATATTAAGTTGGGGGTAAACGTGAAAGTTATATGGTCAGAACTGGATCAGGTGCTCCCCGAAATACATTTCTTTCCACAGAAAAACCTAGGGAAAATATTTTTAAGGTAGAGACTAGTGGCTGAAAAAAAATCAACTGATCAATAAAAATGAAAATGGCTATTCTTTTCCCAAATAGTCTTCTTAACCCAGTGGGGTCTAAAGGTATTCTGGAAGGGGGGAAAGAAAAATAAAAAGGCTTCTTCAGCTTCTGCATCCAGCTTTATTGCATTCCTAACTCTCTCATTGAAGCACCTTGGAGATAGTAAACCTGAATAGATATAGACTGAGCTAAGTTAAATTCAGTTTCATTGTCCATACTCAAAAACTCTCCTCTTCTACTACCTTCAGTTCTAACTTCTGAGACTCTATAAGTGATGTTTTTCTTCAGTCTATTTTGTATAAGTAATTCCCACCAGTAACTTGTATGTTGTTACTTCCTTATGGGGTCTAAGTGAAAAAAGAGAAGAGGGATGCATAGGAGAGTTTCTGGGAGGTGGTGGTTTTTTATTCCTTGGTTCTCTTTGCTATTTCTTTTTTAATTGACAAAAAAATAAAAAAGACATATGAGTGCCTGCTGCAGGGACAAGTTGCCACTGTTACCTCTCACCTAGATTATACCAACAGCTTTCTAACTGGACTCTGTTTCCTCCTTTGTTCCCTTATAGCAACCATCATGACACTGCTGTGCTCAAAACCCTGCAGTGGCTCCCCATTTGATTCACACCAAGTCAGATTTCTTCAGTGGCCTCTCAGGCTCTGCTTGATCTGGTCCCCATTACTTCTCTCACCTCTCCTGCTTGCATTTTCTGCTCCAAGCCACACTAGACTCCTTGCCAGTCACATTATCTCATTAGAGACTTTGCCCTTCCTGATCCCCTTTCCTGGTATGTGTTTTTTCCTCAGACATCTGCCTGTGTAATTATCTCACTTCCATACAGTCTTGCCTCAAATCTCAGCTTCTCAATAAGCCTAACATATCTTTTATTTAATACTTTAACTTGCCCCACTCACACTCCCAAACTCCTGATCCTGTTTTACTGTTTTCATTATGATAGGCTTGGTTATGCTGTGGTATTGGTGTAACTCCCAATCTTAGCTTAAAAAACAAAGCTTATTTCTTGTTTGTGCTACATAGCCCTTATGGGTTAGCAAACAGCTCCATTTCACTTAGAACCTCAGGGACCCATGCTGGTGGATGTTTGCCAGTCTTGTGAGGCATCTCAACATGTGGCTTTCAGGATCACATCTGTAGGGAAGAGAGAGTTCACAGAATGATTGAAAGTAGCATAAGCCACTTTTTTCTTAGCTCATTGGCCAAAACTAGTTATATAGTCTCAGTTCAACTGCAAATGAATCTAAAAACATAGAGCACAAGAAATATTTGGTGAACATTACTGTTTCAACACCTGTTCTCTCTTTATATTTCTCCAAAGTCCATAACATGTCTTATGTAATTGATAATTTAATATAACATAGAATTTATATTTGCATATCACATAATTTGTATATTTTATGTTTACTGTTTATGCCTTCCCCAAGGAAGAATGTAAGCTTATTCTCCTAAAAAACCATACTACTTACAATTTCTTGCACATAAGCCTTTGTTCATGGTTGCTCTCCTCTTTTTAATGCCCTCTATTTTTGTTTTGTACTCACTCCTTTTCTCTGAAGATTAAATTAGTCATCTTTCAGGACAACTTGAATATTACTTAATCTGTAAGACTTTGTTAACATCCTTAAACTAAGTTCAATGCCCATCTCTTAGACTACCTCTGAGTTTTTAGTATGCTTATCACAGCCCTTACCTCATTATATCATTATATATCTGTCTGCTTCGTTAACCAGCTTCCTCATGCATATGGAAGAATGGCTGGAGAAATGGAGCCTGGAAAAGAAACTATGAGGATATGAATAAGGGCAGTATAGTAGGGTGGATAAGAGATGACAGAATCAAGAGATATTTAGAAAGTAAAATCAGCAAGACTTGGCTCTTGGTTGAATATGAGGGATAAGGAAGGAATCAAGAATAATTCATGTGTCTCATTTAGATTATTACATGGGACCATGATGTTTCCAAATGAAATAGTGAATATTAGAGGAGGAACAAGTTTTGGTGGCCAGATGAGGAGTTTGATTTGAGGTCTAGTGTTTAACTCCATAGGGACAGCAATATGGAGAATGTATAGGAGTTAGCTATTTGATTCTTAACCCAAGGAAACTGATAGGCTTTCAGCATGCTAAGTAGTAGTTAACAAACTGCCAAAAGCTACTAATGGCAGAATCCTTTTTTTTTTTTTTTACCAATGTTTAACAAACAAGAAGAGGAATATATGTTCTTGTGTGGGAAACAGAAAAATAATAGATAAAGGAGAACCACCAGGAGGGTGTGATACAGAAATCAGGGTATTTCAGCTTTCAAGACAGGGGTAGGTTATGTTTAATGCAGTAGAGAAGCCATATCAAAACAACTATGTACTGAATCTTTGCCATTCTTCTTGCAACCTTTCTTAACTCCACATTCTTTCAACCCTACTTCTTACTGAACCACCTTGAATTCTTATTGAATTGAACCACTGTGCCTTCAATTTCATTGAGATATTTGAAGTTATCAGGCATGAACTGCCTCAGATGTGCCCCCTCCTTCTTCCTTTACAAACTTGTCACCATGCCCATCCATCAGTTCCTCCTTCCCTCTATTATCAAGAGATTAAAAGTTAGTGCCATTGAAACCAGGAGTTGTCTACTTTCATGTTTTTTTCCCTTTTTATGGCTTTCTGCTCCCAGTATCCCACCAAAATTTTTTTCAGTAAGGTTACCATTTGAAATCTTAGTGGGGGAGCAGCAGTGGAAAACAAATCATAAAGTGTTGAATATTGAATATAAGAGGAGGAAATACTAAGAGAAATTGCAAATAGCAGTCACCAATGGAAGTGAGAGGGAGATAAATGCCCAGTCTCTTCTCCAGGAAAGTAAGGACACTTACCTGGACCAGATTTAGGCACTATTCTGGAGATGCTTTCATTTTGGAGCCACCTCAAAAATATGTTTCTGCCTGTTTTTCTTCTTCTGTAGCATGCCAGTAATTAAGTCTTTACTACAGAATAAAAAATGAGCCAGTTTCCTCAGTGAAGAGTATAAAAGCATCAAGTTTAATTCATTTGTTCATTCATGAAAAAGTATTTCTTGAATGTCTGCTATGTGCCATGCTTAGGATTAGGTGCTAGGAATACAATGGGGAATAAAAACACAAAGTTCTTGTTTTTGTGGAGTTTGTAGCATACTGGCTTGTTTTTTATTTGCTTATTTATATTTAACCTGCATTATTTAACTAATTTTACTTTTTTTCCCCCCTTTAGTATCCTCTTATATATGGACTGATTCTTGTTCCCTGCTGGTGTTCTCTAGTTTGCCTAAGTAGAATTTACATGGGAATGCACTCCATTCTGGTAAGGAAAACATTATGTTTATAGTGCTTTGTTTTTTTCTGAAATTGACAGACAATTTTATAATTTATAATCATTTTCAAACTTATAGGAAGCCTAAATGAGAAAATAGAGCAATTGTAAATATTTGTTTTGCAAAAACATCAACATGATGTTCTGTGAAGTTTTAATGTAGTAATAATGTATCATAGAAACAGTTCCTAGCAATCATAATAACCAAGTATTAGATTCAGAATAACATCTCTCCCTCCTTTCAGTCTCAGTTTTATTTTCCTTCTCATTCTCTTCTATGCCTCTCCTACCACTGAATCAAAACAAACAATGTGAATACAGAAACCAGGAAGAGCTCTATATATTAGTGAAGTCCCAGTTACAAGAAATTAAATGAATTTAAACTATCCTGGTTTTACATATTAAACTCTAGTTTTCTTCTCTTTCTTAACAGTATTTTAGGACCTACATCAGATATTTCACTTTGAGAATATAATTCAATTTCAAAACCATTTGTAATTCAGTTTCAAAACCAACAGCACAGGTATCCTGGATTCTTTTCAGCTATACCTACTCACTTCCTTTCCTCACTGTTCCCTTTGCATTCCTTTAGTTTTGGTTGGCATAATCTCAACCAGATTACTGCAAGAGCTTCTTAATTAGTAGCCTTACTTCCAGCTTGACACCAATCCATACAGTGTTTAGTCTCCTGCTGAAGTTTACTTTCCAGTTCACAAATACAATGCCATACTGAATGACTTCTGTTCCCTCAAATGCAAAGGGTGTTTATTACCTCCATACTTTAGGAATGCTGTAACCTATGCTTGGAATGGCCTTTACCCTTTCTTTGTCTAGCTAATTATCCTATCTATTTATTCTTCAAGAATCACAAAAATGTTATCTCCTAAAAGCCTTATTACTTTCCCAATCTTGGTTACTCGAGACTGGTTCGGTTACTTTTCCCAGAGCATCTTGAGCATAATTCTGGCATAGCACTTATGCTAAACTGCAATTGTTTTTTTTTTCCTTATATATCACTCCCACTAGACAATAAGCAACATAAGTAAAATAACTATATGGTTTCTCTATCCCTGGCATTTAGTGGTGCCTCTTCGGAAGCTCTATGAATGTATTGTGTGTTATCTTATAGATAAAGGATCAGAAAAAAGGTGGAGAAATATGAACTAATTCATGGAATCCAAAATTTACAACGAATTATATTGAATTTTTCTTGTCCTTAATGCTTTTAGAATTTTCTACTCACAAAAATATTTCATTAGCTTGTTTCATAGCTATAGAAATACTGGGTTTCTATTTCTTACTGCTTGTCTCCAGTAGCTGCCCCTTCAGTAAATATCCAAAAGTCCCACATATAATTTTAATAAGCAAATAATTTGACTTTTATAATTATTTATATTAATATAAAGTTTTGAATTTTCACATAATTCTTTCTCATCTTAATAATATAAAAACATTAAAATAGTTTTGAAATACTTAGTCTTTTTTATAGTTAATATTTTAATATTTTTATATCAAATTTAACATCACAGAAAATGTTATACATTTCTGTGCTTGCTAGTTATTTCCTTCCCAAGTCAGCAATACTGCTCCTAAGAAACTGCCAAGTGGTTATGCATCTTTGATAAAAAATGGATCCCTGATATTCTTGAAGGAAAACTATTAGATTACATTATCTCTAGGTTCATTATCATAAAAAGAGGACTAAGAATCTGAAGAGGACTGAATATATAATCGCAAAAGTATTTTTAAAAAAAGGTATGTTTTAGTGGTTTGGTCAAATATTCAGGCTGTGTTGAGTTCATTTTGTTATACACTGGATATGTCTATTTTCCTGAATCAGCTGAAGTAAAAACAATATTGATATATTATTTTGTAAACCATGAGTCTGATAACCCTGGTCCTTTATTCAAAAGCCATCTTATCCTATACAATATTTTATTAGTTCTATTCAGACTAGCTACTGAATTTTATTATGTGTAGTATTCAAGTATTTGTTCTTCTTTTAAAAGTGAAATCAGGGATAATTTGTAAGCATTGTAAATTATAGTTCAATGTTTAACCGTAACTGTTGTTAATAATATATTGCTTATCATTTTGTAATTGATAAATGAAATTATACCCATTAATGAACTCCCCTTTGTTAACATTATGGATCTGATATATTCCTGCAATTTTTGCATTTTCTGCATTTTAATGTTCCAGCAATGATTTGCATTTGAGCTATTTTCTTAATTATAATTAGTTTTTCCACTGTTTATTGTGAAATTAGTATGGAACTATAGGCAGAGTGTGCCCTAGAAGTTGCTAATATGTGCTTACATACCATATTATCTAAGTGGGTATTTTCATTAACATTAAAAAGAGAGTGTGAATAATGTGTTCTAATAATTTGTAATGAACATTTAGTATTTGCTATATGCTTTGTTGTTATTGTTACAACACAGAGCAACAGCTTAGTTTTTTAACATCCACATTTCTTTCCTAGATTGTTACTTTTCTTAATCCCCAGAAAAGTAGATGAGTTACTACATCCATTTTTTTAACTTCAAACCTTTCAAAAGTTAATTTCTTAAAACACAAGCCATTTTTAAGTTACTAGATTGAATACTTGTCAAGTTACTGTTTTGTTTCTACATTAGAAAATTAACAATATATTGTAATTACACTGATCAAAAATTGTATTAAAAGTTTAAATGGCTGTATGTGGAAAGTCTTTTTAGAAAGGTATTATGAAATTATAAAATAGTATGTACCTCTCAAACCCATTTTTATAAAAACTAAAAATCAAACCAACAAAAAAAACAACCAAAAAACCCCCACCAAAACCCCAAAACATGTTGTAAGAAAGATCTGGAACAGCAAACACCAAAAGTTTTAATAGTGATTATTCCTGGATAACTATTTGTTAGTGTTTATCAGTGTTTTATCATTTTTCTTTACTGAGCATGTATTAAATTGAATTTTAATTGAAGATTTTTTGTTATACACTGGATATGTCTATTTTCCTGAATCAGCTGAAGTAAAAACAATATTGATATATTATTTTGTAAACCATGAGTCTGATAACCCTGGTCCTTTATTCAAAAGCCATCTTATCCTATACAATATTTTATTAGTTCTATTCAGACTAGCTACTGAATTTTATTATGTGTAGTATTCAAGTATTTGTTCTTCTTTTAAAAGTGAAATCAGGGATAATTTGTAAGCATTGTAAATTATAGTTCAATGTTTAACCGTAACTGTTGTTAATAATATATTGCTTATCATTTTGTAATTGATAAATGAAATTATACCCATTAATGAACTCCCCTTTGTTAACATTATGGATCTGATATATTCCTGCAATTTTTGCATTTTCTGCATTTTAATGTTCCAGCAATGATTTGCATTTGAGCTATTTTCTTAATTATAATTAGTTTTTCCACTGTTTATTGTGAAATTAGTATGGAACTATAGGCAGAGTGTGCCCTAGAAGTTGCTAATATGTGCTTACATACCATATTATCTAAGTGGGTATTTTCATTAACATTAAAAAGAGAGTGTGAATAATGTGTTCTAATAATTTGTAATGAACATTTAGTATTTGCTATATGCTTTGTTGTTATTGTTACAACACAGAGCAACAGCTTAGTTTTTTAACATCCACATTTCTTTCCTAGATTGTTACTTTTCTTAATCCCCAGAAAAGTAGATGAGTTACTACATCCATTTTTTTAACTTCAAACCTTTCAAAAGTTAATTTCTTAAAACACAAGCCATTTTTAAGTTACTAGATTGAATACTTGTCAAGTTACTGTTTTGTTTCTACATTAGAAAATTAACAATATATTGTAATTACACTGATCAAAAATTGTATTAAAAGTTTAAATGGCTGTATGTGGAAAGTCTTTTTAGAAAGGTATTATGAAATTATAAAATAGTATGTACCTCTCAAACCCATTTTTATAAAAACTAAAAATCAAACCAACAAAAAAAACAACCAAAAAACCCCCACCAAAACCCCAAAACATGTTGTAAGAAAGATCTGGAACAGCAAACACCAAAAGTTTTAATAGTGATTATTCCTGGATAACTATTTGTTAGTGTTTATCAGTGTTTTATCATTTTTCTTTACTGAGCATGTATTAAATTGAATTTTAATTGAAGATTAAAACTTCAAATCTATCCCTAGTAATACCTTTAAAATCAAAGGTAATGCATTCCCATAGTACATTTTGTTGTTAGAAACTCTGTTGGCATCTAAGAGGCATATTGAAATCAGAAGCAGGACACCTGAAATATACTATGATTAAAAAGCAACAATAGGCATCCTGAATTCTAGTCTCAGCAAACTAGCCTCCCTGTTCTACTGCCTGATCAGGAGAAATGAAAGGGAGTTAATTCCACATTTAATACATAATGAGTCTTTACCGAATTTATGGTATTGATATTTTCTACCATAAATTTGATAATCTTGAATATTCCATTAAATTGTGTAATTATCTATCAACTTTCAGGGCATATAAAGTTATTTAAAATTAATAACTATCTAAAATTATTTGCTATGTTTTTAGAAAATTTGCTTTGAGATCTTTATGTTACCTCTTAACTTTTCTTTATTGTATACTTTGTACTGTAATGCTTAATACCATTTAGTTATACATTTTAATGTTACATATTAAATTGATAGCCCAATGATAGCTGCCGTATTTTGTTCTAATTCAGTTCTTCTTTCCTGTTCTAGTTCTGTTGCATGGAATTTCAATCTCCTTACTATTCATGCTAATATCATAAATAGTTAATAACTCATTTAGAAAGGAAGGCAGATTTGAAGAGTCTTGTAGCAATCTAAGTTTAAATTTCTTGGAGTTATACAAAAAAAGTAGAGGACAAGAAATATTGGATGTTTTATGTCATACTGAAGTATACTTGAGTATTCTAAAATATACTGAAATGATATATTTTAAAGAATTCTTAAAGTGATCAAATATAAACAAAGTCTTAAAAAGTCA